TACCTTGAAAGAGCAAAACGGAGTAGTGAAGAACGTCACCGAAGTCGTGAAGATGAACAAATTGTTTTGATCTTTATGCTTTGTATTTCATAGAAACCCAGCTATAGAATCACAACAAAATACCTAAAAAGAACTTTTAAAACCAATGAGCTTGAGTTTTATACCATGCAAAGGATTATATGTTATTGGTACCTACTAAACCCAAACCAATAACAAGAAGAATAAGTTTTAGTCAAGATAAAAATGAACCATCAAATAGAGTGCTTATTTCATGACCAATTGGTTATGGAATATATGAAGAAAAAAAATTTAGCTAAATAAGAACTGCAAAATTTATTCATATTAGGTTCCTATAACTATAAGTATGTATAGCTGCAATTAAACAAACTACAAGATGACATAGAAGTGGGTAAGCAAGCATGTCCAATGGTCCACTCTACTTTCAGTTACTATCGTTCTTCAAGTAAGAAAATTTAAGTTTATGTCCTTGTCTCCATTATATAGGATGTGGAAAGGTATTCAAGAAGGAAAACTGCAGAGGGCAAGCTACCAAGATACAAAGTTCTATACTACAGGGATCAATACATCCTTCAACACATGACAACCAGCTTTAACTCCAACTTCATTCATATTCCAAGGCGAAACTTTGTCAAGTTCTCAGTTTCGAGTAGTAACAATTCCAAAGGGTATTGGCATGTGCAAATTAATATTGTGTGTAAATTTAAGTATCTCTAAAGCTAACACAATGAACATTACCTTTTTCAACTAAGAACACTTTTTGAATGATCTAGGACATGCCTTTGACACTTTTAAATAATGTTGCTTTATTACAATTTTTTATTGGCATCTCTAAAGCGTTGAAAAAAGTACAGAGTCATACTTAATCGCAATCTGAATGCCAAAATAATGAAAGTATAATTTCTTAAAATATTATTCTTGCGTAATATTCTCTCGGGCAACTTATTTTTTTCGATTGTGCTGTAATATTTTACCATTTTGTAAGCCCGAACCAATATCAAAGTACCAGATACAACATAGCTGGGGAAAAACTTTTTAACCCATGCAATTACCCTGACAGAGCAAAAGTGCAGCTGGCGGATGACGATGTTACCAGTGTTGCAAGAAGATGACCAAATCACTCTGTTATTCAAGGAAATCCAGTAACATATGTAACCTTCGATTAGTCATTTTTGAGAATCTCAGTAGAAGTCAAAATTTTAATTTTGGCAAAACAATGTGCGAAAATCAAAGAGAAGAAAGTAGCAAAACCCAAAGAAAAACAGAGAGGAAACAAAGCAAATCAAAAGGATTTACTTTGGTAGAAGAAGCTTGAGCGGCGAAGAACTATGCGTCAAATATTGAGGAGAGAGAAAATTGTTCTTCAAACTCGGTAGCGGTGATTGCCACAGCATAAGTAGAAAATGACCTACTACATCTGATCCGAATAGTTAACAAATAAGGACATAATAGACAATTTAAAGCAAATAGCACATCAAATGACCAGACTGCCCTCGTCATAAGCAGACATGTTGACGAAGAGCTCTCTGCTATTCCCTCTTCTAAGAAGTAGGAATATATAAAAAAAATGTTATAGATCTTTTTCTAAAAATGTGTTAAAATTATAAACTGTGCTTATAGGATTTGGTAATTAAATAAGGAGCACTAGTGATTTTTGTGGATTTTTTTATTTTTCTCCTTGCAAAATTTTAATGAATTTTATTATATTACAAAAAACTTAAAAGGATGAATGGAGTGAAATGGACATACACATTCCATTGCAGTGTAAGTTGTAAAATAGTTTAAATTTCAGATCATGGGTCTAATATTTGAACCGACGAGCCTAAATTCAGATTCGAAGGTTGATAGTTTGAACAAATAAAGATAAAAGATCAAGAATGTTATAGCCTAAAACTCAAATCTCATTGTCATTCATAGGTTTGAAGTTAGGCTGTGACAATTCTGACTTCCGATCCAAATTATTAAAGTTTGAAACTCTAAATTCATTATTTCAGCTTCAGTTCTACGTGTCTGAAGCTGATTCTAAAGCGGCTAAACATTAAACACTTTTTAATCTTCGGCTTTTCTTTGAACATTGATCTTCGAAGCATATATTTGTCCACTTGCCGCGGTTTAAGGTCTAGGGTCTTGGTTAATGCCCTTCCCTTTATGTAGTTTATTTAACCGGATTAGATTCTACTTCAATTTTCTAATCGTCGATCATAATTATTTTTTGCATTCAAGGATATGATCTAGTAATTAATAAGTGGAAATAAACCATGAAGTCTCGTTATTAAATTCCAACATAGACAAAAAAAAAACCTATTAAATGATTTCTTCCCACTAACCTAAGCATAGAATAATTGAAGTTAGCATTAGTTCAAACAAAATAGGAATCATTATTTTTCAAGTTACATGGTAAAGTTTTAAATGAACACAAGTCCTCAATAATTCAGCAGATGTGCAAAGTGTTGTGTGTTTTTTCTTTGACTTTTTCTTGGGTCAGACTAAATTATTTTCTTCTTCATCTTCAAAACAGAAAACATTTCATTCCTATTTTAGTACTCCTACAAATTAGTAAAGGACCTTGTAAAGACTGCTGACTGCTGCAATTCAGTGCTCACTAAATCCTATAAGCAGTTTATAGTATTTCTCTTTAGAATCTTTCTTCTTTTTTCATACAAACTTGAGCAAATATATCCTCTTAAACTTACTTCACCCACGCGCAGTTAAGTCCTGTAACTTCCACATTCCGATTAATACCCAATAAATAATCGCGTGCTATAACACGAGAAAACGAGAGTGTGATAATATGAAGTTCTAAAATGTTAAGTACGAAAAACACAAGAACAAAGAAGACTCGGCTTCAGGAGAAATCAAGAAGAGAGAGAGAGAGTAGTGTCGGAGAGAGAAAGTGGGAAGTGGGTATTTTCAATTCTTGATTTAAAAGATGTGATTTTTGGAGAAGAAGATAATTAAACAGAGGAGAACTGAAATGCAAAGAGATGGAAGAGGAAGCTTATACATGGGTATCAAGAAACAAGTAAGAGTTGAAAAAAAAATGTTTTTTTTACAATACTTTGTGAATCTGAATTGTGTGTCAGTTACGTGAAGCTCCAATAAGGTCAAGAGTGTTCACTTTTGTCTGTATGAATTCTTGAAGTTTAATCATTGTTCATGTAGAAGTGAATTTGAACTTGAGGTTTGAAGCTTCAAGCTTTTAAATTTTGGAAAAAATTGGCAGCTTGAACTTGATTTTTGGGTATGTTTTAGGTAATCTTGGCAGTTTGAAGTTATTGAATTGGGAATAAAGTTGTGGGTTTTAGTTGGAGTTACGGGGAGGTATCTTAGCTGGAAATGGAGGGTTTGATAAAGTAATGATTTTGACGAGATTTTAAGGTTGGAGTTTTAGTAGGACTTGGGATTTGAAGTTTTTCAAGATTGGATTTTTGGAGGGAGAGTTAGTTGAGAATTTGGATTTCTGGTGCTGACCTCAGCCCCTTTAAATCTTATACTGTTACAAATTGGGATATTGGAGATGGGATTTGATTTGGAAAATGCAAAGATTGATACTAGAGGGATTCAATGCAGTTTCCAAGTTGTTTTTTTGGAGTTTGGGGGGAAAACCCTAATTTAGTGGTGGAATTGGTTTCTGACCCTAAAGTTTGTTTTTGAGCAGGGGAAACTTTATAACTTTTGCTTTTTGTGTATGGCATTTATGTGCTGACTGAGATGCAACCGCCACATCAGCATTCACGGATCAATCTTGCTGAACTGAAAGCTTTGATAGTGAGGAAACTCGGACCAGATAGGTCAAAACAGTACTTTTATTACTTAAATAGGTTGCTGAGCTTGAAGATAAGCAAGGTTGAGTTCAATAAGATTTGTCTTAGGATCTTCGGAAGAGAGAACATTCCACTGCACAATCAGTTTATCTGTTCTATTTTGAAAAATGCTTGTAGTGCAAAAGTTCCACCGTCAAGTCATGAGGATGAGTTTTTGAAGCCTGGTGCAGCGCTTGGCAATAATGAGGCTTCAAATGATGCTTATGAGCAAAATGGGTCGTGTGTTTTGTTAAGACATTCTTCAAGTCAACCAGGTTTGTCAAATGGGGACATTTTGCCATTATCTCCTCGAAAGACCAGAACGGGCTTCCGTGATCGTAGTGCTGGGGATGGCCATAGTGCACTTGGACCAAATGAGAAAACTAGTTTCACTTTTCAACAATCAACAGCAGAAGAATCGAGTGATTTTGATGTTACTAAGGAAAATGGTGACTTGAATCCCCCTGATGGCCTGAGGTCTGTACAGCACAATCCAGGACTCATCCAGCGATCAGACGACGAAAGGGAAGCAGCGAATCTAGAAACTTCCAAACTTTCTTTAACAAAGAGACCACTTGAAGGTCCAGTTTCTGTACATAACAAAGACCATGTTAGTGGTGATGGGAAAGAGATGCATGCTAGGAGTGAACTACAAGCGCCGCTTGGAGTTCCATTTTACCCTGTTAGTGTAGGTGGATCACATAGAGAATTGCCTTTGGCAACCAGTAATAAATGTTTTAGCTCTTCTAATTTTGGTGCTTTGTTGGACACCTTAACATTGAGGGAACGCATGGAGCAGATTGCTGCAGAACAGGGAATTGAAGGGGTGGCTGTCGATTGTGCCAATTTGGTGAACAATGGTTTAGATTCTTACTTAAAAGGTTTAATCGGGTCTTGTGTTCAACTTTTGGGAGTAAGGTCTGGGCATGAACCTACTAAGGTCAGCAAAGAGAAGCAGCAAACCTATATGAAGCCTGTTAATGGTCTCAGACTAGGCCATCATTTTCAGGTGAGTAGCGATAAATTTTCAGAATTCATGCAAGAACAGGCTCCCGACAGCCTGGTATCATTGCAAGATTTTAGGGCTGCCATGGAGCTAAACCGGCAGCAACTTGGCAAGGATTGGCCATTGCTTCTGGAGAAAGTATGTGCTCGCGTATCTGAGGAATAAAGGCATATATGGATTTTGTTGTCTTCCAATTGAGCTCGTATTGGTCCCTACTGGATCAGAGGGCACCGGCCATGCTAGGGTCTTTCTTTGTAGCCTCTGTGCTAGTTCTCTTGTGGCCGGCCCTTTGAACTAGTCTATAACTGTTGAAGTTTAACTTGTCTCTTTGAAGATGATAGGGACCAGAGCTGAGGACTATTTATCTCACCTGTTACAGGGCTTAACTTTGGCCAGAAAAACCCCCATTTATTTGCAACCACTGAGAGGGACTTGAAGAAAAGAATCCCTTGTTGGTTGCCCTGTTGTATAATTAGCACAATTCTCTTATTTTCTACATTCTCTTGTAATTTATAGTCAATGAGTAAATTTTTAACAGTTTTGGAGGAATAACTGTAGCCTAGTACTTCAGTAGAAAGGTGAAATTGAATGATGCAAGAGTTCATGTATATTAACTACATGTAAAACAGAACCTTTTCAGCAGTAGCTTAATCAGCTCACAGTCTTACTTTTAAATCAAAACTCGTATGGTTTGTGGTCCAATTTTTTCTTTTTCCTATATATTGGTATTGTTTAGCCGAGTAACTCCATTTATGCAGCTTATTACTCGTAACTCATGATGCTCAATGTTGTATTGAGACGTGGGACATCTCTCTTATTCACCTAACTTACTGCTTGACTTTTGATAACAAACCTATTGGTGTTCTTTTTCTTGATTGGAAACACCGACTTACAAATATTTCATTTGTTAAGATAGTTGTTCGTTCTTGTTATAAATAAAAATAGTGCTTTGCATGTGGGAAACACATCTTTGGTGTGTAGTATATAAAATAATCAAATAGGTCCGAAGAAGCTACATACTAGTACTGTAAAGCATCCAACTTCTTGTGATTGATGATTTTGTGGTTAGAATTATTATCACTAATTATATTATTGATTTATTTGTCTATAAGGTCTGACTATTAAGTAATAGCCTTGCTGCATACTTCAGTTTTATGGAAGTCCAGCTCACTACTAAATGAGAGAATGGTGTTAAAACATAGTCGCTGATTAAGTCACTCTGAGGTGTTAGATTTTCCAGATTCCTTATTTATCGCTTGCCTCGAGGTTCGGATAAGTTTATTTTCTTGCACCAAAAATCAAATTTGGAAACTTTTTGTTTTTCTTGGACGAGGAGGTAAAAAGGCGCTTCTGGGAGGCGTTGGATGAGGTGGTGCGGGGTATTCAGCCGACGGAGAAGCTATTCATAGGAGGGGATTTCAATGGTCATATTTGGTCGTCTGCTGGTGGCTATGGTGAGGTGCATGGTGGCTTCGGCTTTGGTGATAGGAACGAGGGTGGTACCTTACTGTTGGATTTTGCTAGAGCTTTTGAGTTGGTGATTGTGAACTCTATGTTTCCGAAGAGGAAGGAACATTTGGTTACTTTCCGGAGTATGGTGGCTAAGACTCAAATTGACTATCTCCTCCTCAGGAGGTGTGATAGGGGGTTGTGTGAGGATTGCAAGGTGATCACGAGTGAGAACCTCGCAACTCAACATAGGCTCTTAGTGATGGACGTCGGTATTTTGATGAAGAGGAAGAAGAGGTTTGTACGGGGTCCGTCGAGGATCAGGTGGGGAGCTTTGTCTAAGGATAATGCGCAAGAGTTGGAGGGGCGGCTGACAAATATGGGATCCTGGAAGAGTGGTGGGGACGCTAGCGCTATGTGGACGACGACGGTGGACTGTATAAGGGAGGCAGCAAGAGAGGTGTTGGGAGTTTCGAAAGGTTATTATGGCGGGCACCGAGGCGACTGGTGGTGGAATGACGTGGTCCAAGGTAAAGTGGAAGCCAAGAAAGCGGCGTACATTAAGTTAGTAGAGAGCACTGACGAGGATCAGAGGAGAGCGAACAGAGAAAGATATAAGGAGG